TTAGGGTAAAAACTTGATGAGGAGTATTTTTATTAGTTATACAACAGGGTTACTCTAGTAAAATTTTAAGATATTATAGAAGGGTGCATCAAGTGCAAAGTGCACTAAAAATAAATACCCAAAAATAATTTACAATTTTTTGATAAATTCTTTAAATATTAATTTTAGATCTATAGTTTTTTAATAAAATTATATTTAAGGATAATAACTTTAATTATTATAAATTTTATAATTTATTTGTAAAAATTAAGACTTGTATTAGAAGTAAAAATTTTTTTATAGACAGAACATATAAAATTTTAAAAAATTTAAAGAAAAATTTTATAATAAAAAGTTCAAAATAAAAACTTTAAACTTTTATTACTCTCAAGTTTTTTAATAAATTTAAAAACTTTCTTAATAAAGTTATTAGAATATATTTAAAAATATATTTTTTACTTAGTAAGTATATAACTAAAATTAATATTTAAAATTTTATTTTAAAAATATTTTTTAAAAAAAATTTCAGGGCAAATCTGTAGAAGAAACGGTTTAAGGGATAGAGGTTACATTAACATTAATATAAACTTTTAAAAATTTTATCCACTTTTATTAGAGCTAATTAACTATATTTTACATGTAAGCTTTTATATTTAATAAATTTTAGCCAATTGTCAAATATAACAATTTTTTTCAAAAAAAATACTTTTTTTAAAAAAATTTTTTCTTTTCCTTTTTTTATTTTTTTTTATTTGGTTATCCAAATTTAAATGTAACCTATTTAACACTTACTAATTTTATCCACTTTTAATAATATAACATTAAAAGCTTTTATCCACTTTTAAATGTAACCTTTTGACCAATATCCGCATTTCAAATATAATATTTTTGTAAAAAAGTAACCTTTTTAACCAAAACTGCAATATATTGTTCGGGGTCCTCTAGCAACACTAATATTAGAATATAACACTAATAAATGTATAAAAAGGTTGTAAAATTTCAAAGATGTTATAACTTAAGTAAATATATATTATGCATAGATGAAATAAGAACAGGACAACAAATACCTATTTATTTCCCGGCCAGCCCATTGTTTCAAATACCTTTTTGATACATTAAAATAATGTTATTTTGAATGACCGGGAAATGAGTAGGAATTTTTTTATTGAGTAAGGACTTCATCAATGGGATCTCTTGTTACATTTTATTAATGGTGCTATCTATACTGCAAGAAATCTCATCAATGAAATAATTCAATATGTATTAAAATATATACATGCTATATTTATTTTTTAAACAAATATAGATAGTTCACTAAGATATGTGGGCAGAAAAAAAATTTGATAATGGCAATTGAAACTATAAAATTACCAACATAAAATTAATACGCAAAAGCAATATACAGTAACATGATAATCGTAAGTTTGTAAGAAACTGTCTTACAGCAAATTGAAATATAATACGTATAAACTTATAAAAATATGAAAATGTGTTACAGAATTGTTACTCTCCTGAAAATGATATATATACAATTCGAACTTTTTATCCTGACTTATAATCACCATTTACTTAACTCTTTGCCTAATAGAACATGATTTTAGTGTTTCTACACAAAAAGTTAAACATACCTAGAATTTTTGTTAATAGAATTTTTTAACTCGCTCCCGAAAACAAAAGCTTGTTATATGAGTAGTTAATTGTCTTTGCACTGATCGTTCATGTAAAATCTACTGTACATACCATTTCGGCGGATTTATGGAATTATTCAAATTATTTTGTTTATCAAATAGGAGAGTCATGCTGATTGACGTATGATAACGATAGTGATTAATATTTTTTTTTTAAAAAAAATAAAAATTCCAACGTCGAGCAACAAATTATTATTTAAGAAGAAATATATTCTAATAAAGATATTTTATAACAAGCTCGATTCAATACGAGACAAAATAACATTGAATTTATAAGAATAATACTAAAATAATTATATCGAATAAAAGTGCATCGGATGCAGCAAAGCGTTAAATATAACGATATTGTGTTTTCACAACCAAAATTAATTAATTCTAATAAACCTAGTAGTTAAAATTTGCAAAACTTGGCAATTTTTTCTAATGAAACTTAATTTTTTTTTAAAATTAATATAAGTATAAATATATACACACTAACATATATATCCCTAAAAGTTATTTTCTTAAAAAAAAAATAACCAGCCAACACGTCCTATTTTGCGATGTTACTAACCCAACGAATATATGCGTTCACCCTTATAGATTCTTGTACAGTAAATATTAAAAAATTAGTGAATATGATAATTCTGTTTGTATTACTTAGCTTTTTGGTGTTTTCGGAGTAGTTTTCCTTGCACATACAAACTATTATTCTTAACGGCTAATTTGAGACCGGCTCTAGCCTATAATGGAACTGAGCCAGCCCAAACCAATTTAGCTGTAGCTTGAATCGTATTGCTTAGAGTCGCAGCTTGAGCTGTGCTTTGAGCTCTTAATTGTTACGTGATTAATATCACGTTTCCAGCTAGTAAAATTGCGGCTTGAGCCATGGCTACTAGAACCACGTTTGAGCTGGAGCTGTGGCTTTTAGGTGCCAATCCAAGCCATCCGAACTGATATCAGCCCTAATAACTCTAACTCACATTGATATGTATACACGAAGTCAGATTAAATTGACTCATTATCAGTAGTCAAACATTTTCAAATTTAGGGTAGTTTACAAATGCGCCATAATGGTATAGTTAACTTCCAATTATAGCTATATTGTTAGTAAACTAGCTCTTTAACAGCCTTTAAAATTATTCAATATTTGTTATGTTTGTTTACGTGCGTTTTTTACTGAATGTTGTACTCGTGAGCATCCACCTTTTTTTTGTTTAATTAAATAACAATAGATGTCGTACCATCTCATTTAGAGTTATTACCTGGTTTTTATCAGATTTAGTAAATAATTTATAACAATTCGAACATTATTACGAACATAAAAAATATGCATTATTTGAATTAGCTAAGAAACTAGATTATATTAGCAGTTTTTTTGAATTTTGTACATTTTAAAAAATCCAAAAACATCTGCGTATTTTTATATTTCAGGAAAATATATTTCAATATTGATAATTAAAATGGATTTTATTTTTTATCGCCATAGCGATGTATCGCTACCCTCCTGAGACTTATTTGTCGCGCCACGTAATGTCGGGGTTTCAATGTTCAAACCCCGCTTGTAATTAGTAATCTATAGATAATCTATATTACTAATCATAGTCGGGGCTTGAATATTGAAACCCCGACATCACGCAGCGTGACATTTAAAATTCGGGATTTTGATTTTCGGAATTTTGATTTTCGGGATTTTGATTTGACTTAGACCCGGGTGGTGATACATCGCTATAGCGATAAATTATAAAGCCCAATTAAAATTTATTGATTTATAATAATAGGTTTCTATTCATGTGATTGCAGAAAAATTCGGAGTACGTTGAGGTACGTAGCTTTTTACAGCATAGTTATGGTTTGCGCCACAGTTGGTAACATTTTGGTGACCTTTTGAGAATCGGTAATTCTATAGAATTTTACCGATTTATATAAAATATTAATCTAAAATCTCTCAAATGTTCCCCGATCATCATTACAAAAATCATGTGGTCACATCTAGATTCTAATCGGTAGGGACAGATTTTGAAGCCATCAATCAGGGACGATAAAAATTAGAATCTAAGCCAAATAAATCACATGCCAAGGTTTTTTCTCACCGATCTTTATGTCACGCGATCAGATAGTTTTAGACCTCTATTTTTGGACGGAATATCAAAAATGTACAACACTGGACTACTGATAAACCAAGTAAAAATCCAGAAATAGTAACAATGGAATATACAAATATTGGTATGGATATGACAATAACGTTTCCGCAAAAATGGCTCCGTTCTTTAAAAAACTTTCTAACGATTTATTAAATCTTCTCGAAACTGGAGAAGATTATGATGTATTAATTGAAATTGGACAAACACCGAACCATCAAACTTTTAAGGCTCACTCAATTATCTTGAATTCTCGATGTTCTTATTTTCGTGATAAATATAACAAAATAGATGATATTAAAAAATTCCGCAATTCAGATATTTCTGTTAACAATTTTAAAATCATTATTAGGTGATAATTATTCTATTATTGGATTATTTTTTCGATTCGGTAAAAAAGAATTTAAATGTTATTCCTTTTAATTATTTAGGTATATTTATGGTGGTATTGTTACATTTGATGACATCGATGAGCCTACACTTCTTGGTCTTTTAGCTATTGCTAATGAATTTGGTCTTGAAGAGTTGACTAGCCGTTTACAAACAAAATTGGTTAAAGGACATGAACCCTGGATACATCAACATTTTCCTACCATTCATAAAATAAGTTTTGAAAGTGATAACTTTGAAATTTTGCAACAGTTTTGTAATGAAATCATCGTTAAAAATCCAGATATTCTATTTGATTCTGAAGATTTTATAAATCTTCCAGAAAATGCTTTGGTTTCTCTCTTGAAACTTAATTTACAAATGGATGAAGGAAAAATTTGGGATCAAGTCATTAGATGGGGATTGGCCCAAAGCTCCAATCTCGATTCTAATCCTACTCAATGGTCTAATGAAAAAATTTTAACTTTAAAAATTGTTCTCAAAAATTGTTTACCCCATATCCGATACTTTCAAATTAATGGTAATGATATTATGGAAAAATTATATCCATATAATCAAATCCTCGAACAGAATTTGTGGGCCGATATTATGGCAAAATTTTTGGCACCAAATAAGGCTATCAATTCAACCATTTTACCACCACGTGTAACTCCTGTTGTTGTATTGCCACCAAGAAATGACATAACTTCCAATGGTAAGTGTAATACATTGTCCTATTAATTTAATAAGTTTGCATATTCTATTTAAAAAAAAATCGTAGATTTATATAAATACTTGTTTTTATTAAATTTATACAAACTTTTTTGAAATTCCGTTATTTCTAATGTTTAAGCGCCAAAAAAACCAACATCTCGAAGAGCCAATAACAAAAAAACCACCAAGTTTCCATCGTCGTCCACAGCCGTTTCACCTGCATCAGATGCTTACTCTGATGAAATCGTTCAAGCATCAAGGCCAATTTACAAAAAAAATCACCAAAACTTCATTATCTACCGCTATTTCACCTGTATCAGATACTTATCCTGATAAACCCGTTCAAACATTAAGACAACAAACAGCTTACAAACCACCCAGATTTCAATCATCTTCTATGGCGGTTTCACCTACGTTAACATATACAGATGATGCTTGTCATAATAAAACCGATTCAATCAGCATGAAACCTATTTCCACTTTTTTAGCTCGAGATACTGCTAAGAAGTATAACCCAGATCAATTTAACATCAAGCCATCTCACGTAAGTGTTATTTTACTATGTGTAACTTCTTTTAACACTAACAACGATATTCGGTGAACAATTTTTAATCATTATCATTAATGTAGGCACGATTTTTCGTAATGAAATCTTATAACGAGGATGATATTCATACATCAATAAAAGTATGTTCATGATGTCAGATTTTTATTATATAGTGTGATTTTGTCTAATATATTATGATTTTTATCGCTACTATTATATTAGTATGGCATTTGGCGCAGTGGTAATCGTCGTTTGGATAAGGCATTTCGTGATAATTCAGATAAAGGCCCGATTTATTTGTTTTTTAGTGTCGTCGCTAGGTGAATAATTGCAATTTATTTGACAATTATTTGATTGCTGATATATTTCATTATTTTATAATTATTAAGATTATTATAATTTATTCAGTGGACATTTCTGTGGTATGGCAGAAATGATTACTTCTGTGGATTATGCAGCAGATAGTAATGTTTGGTTACATGATAAATTGAAGGGTAAATTTAAAGTTAAATGGATTTTCATTAAAGATATTCCCAATAGTCAATTGAAGCATATTAACGTAGTGTATGTATTACTGAATTTAACCGTAATGTAATTTTATCACTTAATGTTCAACTAATGATTAAGTTTAAATTTTGCGAAACACACACAGTAACAATGAGGATAAACCCGTTACAAATAGTCGAGATACTCAAGAATTATTTATTGAAGCTGGGCGTGAAATGTTAAAAATATTTTCCAATTATCGCAGCCAAACATCAATATTAGATGATTTCAAGTATTATGAAAAACGCCAAGTCGAAATGGAAAAGGGTGAGATTGTACAAACAGGTTCCGACGTAGCCTTTGAACGTTGGTCCGATGTAGCGTCCCGACTTAGTCAAAAATATTCAAATCAATCAATGAATCAGTTGGAAACTTAGCATGTTTTAAAATTTGATTGCCTTGACAAATTATCACATATTTATTACATTTATCTTTGCTAAATAAATAAATTTTAGGGGAATTTACATATAAGGGCCCGGAAAGTGAAAATAATTACAAATACGGACCCAAATTAAAAATAATTACATATAAGGGCCTAATTTTTAAAAAATATTACATACAGTATAAGGGCCCAAATCTATTGATGGCTGAAAAAATGTGATCGCTAATTACGCCACAGGGAACTATGACCATTTGAATTATAACGATTGCAAAATCGCGATTATAAGATTATCGATTGTTTTATTATTGGCATTTAGAACTATCTATACACCGATTATTAGATTTAAGGATAAATGAAGCGCTGGTTATAATCATTTTCGTTTAAATACTGTATAAAAAATAGCGTTAAACTAGCACATTTTATAAGGCGAAGAAGTTTCCATATTAGTAAATGTCATGCCAATTCGCAGTGCTTTACTTGACGTCATGGTGATTTGTTATAACAAAAAGTTAATTTTATACAAAGAAAATTAAATTTACTAATTTACAATCGATAGTTACGTTTTTATGCGCTTAATAGATAAGGGTAGCTGCGCAACGTGTGACGCCGCGCAGGACCAGTACGATCATGTATAACGATAATATGTAAATGAAAATAACCAATTGTCACCACAGGTGATTATCACCTGTGATTTTCAATGCATAACAAAATAATTTTCTTTAAAACAAAAAGTAATGTTTTTTATAGTTAGGGTTAGAATGAAGTTTGGAATAAAGTAGGAGCATTGCTTATAGTAAAATTTTGCAAGGAATTTTTTTTGTTAGAGCTCAAAAGGTGGTTTCATAAGCAAAATTTTTGAAATATCAATGATACTGGTGATGATCACCTGTGGTGTAAATTAGAAATTTTCTATGTAAATTCAGACTATTCGAAAGTTATTGATAAAGGATTTTAATACTCATTAAACAAACAAAACTTAGAAATATAGCATAATTATGGTATAGTAAATGCTATATCCCAAATATTATCTTTTAGGTAATGACGCAGCATAAATTCTTTAAAGTTTATTCATTTTAGTATTAGGATTAGTGTTATGGGCTAGAGAAGGGTAGTTTGAATAGTAAAATTGCCCAACAAAAACCTTTTTGTTAGAGCA